CCCCCCTCGAAGTCGCCCCACCGCCCACCCTTGCCCTCCCGACCACTTGACATGCAGCTGGGTGGCTTGCAATGGCCACAATTGACAAGACGACAAAAATTTGAATGAGGGACCGACTGGCAATAATAGTCAACAACAACAGCGATGACACCAACACCGGAGCGACTACTCATGTCTCGCTGCCACAGGCTCCACAGTTGGAACCGTGAAGACCGATAAACGAGAGGGAGCAGGGTCCTTGGACTACGTATGCAGCTCTGACAAGAGACAAGGCGACCAGCCGGTCTATGGTACAAGGGTTCTTATTGCTCACCCAATGACACACAAGATAGATCCAAATGTGCTGCAATATTCTTGTCTCATTGTATTGCTCCCATGTTGCCGCGGGCTTTAAGGATCATTAAAGCGGTATGCATGGGTTCTGAGAGGGTATAAGGTTTAAGGGGTTTAAAGGGTTTCTTAGGAACACATGTTGTAATGATGAATAATGGGGGGCTGCTGAATACGACTGACCAAATTGGCAAGGGGCGCTCCAAAATGGGATGGGGAATACTGGCAGCTCCATGGGACAACGGCGACCCGGATTGATAAGTGAAAAGGCCACAGCCCTAGAAATAATGATTGGAATTCTCTGTGTTGTAAGATGTATCATTGGGATGCTGGACCCGGTTTCCAGCAGGTGTCGCTTTCCAGCAGGTGCCACTCCCCACCAATGGATGGAGCAGCTCGGCAGATAGGCTAGGCCCCCAATTTTGACGGTTCTCTTACCACAGTCGGGATAGAGAGCTTGCACAAAAGATTTTTTTGCCCAAAAATAAAAGAAAAATAAGAAAAAAGAAGCCACAATTTTAGGAAACATAGGGGCCACCACCGAAAAAGTGGCATTCCGGTGAGTTCAGAGCGGGTTTTTTGGGGGCCCGGGGTGCAAGCGGGTCCAATCCCGAGATTTTACACGCCAAATTTGATGATTTTTCGCGCTCAGAAAAATAAGGAGAAAAATCTGCAAAATTGAGATCCTGTAGATCAGTCGTGATCTTTGCTGGAAAAATATCAGAAAGAAAAAAAAAAAAACCACCATCAAATAAATGCCGCACAAATTCGTCACATTTTTCATTTTTGTTGTTCCAACGTGGGGCAAAGGAAAATGTACCCTAACTTCTGTGATTTTTTGCGCTCAGAAGAATGCCTTGAAAACTCTAAAAATTGAAGAGTCTTTAGGTGTGGTTGTGATCTTTCCATGAAAAATACTTAAAACATTTGAAAAAAAAAAATAGTGAGGGAAATAAATGTCGCGCAGATTTGTATCATTCTTGATTTTTGCCACAGTGACTCTACTACTTGCTGGCCAACGGAAGGAAGCCTTGGGTCACCAAAATTAAGACAAACAATGGAGGGGCGCTAACTGGCACCGACGCTGCGACGGGTTCGCGGTGAGTGTGGTACCGGACAACTGTGTTGGAAGTGGATGGTGGTGGACGACGACGTGAGACGGATGAGAGAGCGCGGCTATGGAGACACGGTGACACGGTCGGCACCAGGCACGGGGATATTGAACCCCGCTTTCGGTCGGGAATACCTTACGCTCTTTGGAGCTAGGCGCTGGTGGTGAAAGACGCGGTGCAGATGGAGTAAGATTGGAAGAGGTCATAGTGAGCAGCGGAGCGATTGGGTGCGAACGGAGAATGGCCGAATGGAGGCACTAAAGCAAGTGCAGACTAAGGAAGGAGGGGAGCGAGTTTCCCGGGCAATCTTGGTCGCACGCTACCCGGAGGCAGAAACGAAACGTGGTGTCGGCGAACAGGAGAGGAGTGGAAACGAGGTAAGAGAAAAGACGGAGCAGCAACATAAAGGCAATCAGCGAGCCGGGGAAGTAGAAAGGGCGGGAGAAAAGGGGTGGAAGAGAGGAGGAAAGCGGAAAGGAAAATGCCCAAAGTGGGGAAGGTAAGTGGGCAGCGGGGAAAACGAGTATGTGACGCTCAACCTCACGCCCTGTGCTGTCTTCCGTTCGGAGTGTTTAAAATTGCGGAAGGGGCCCTGGAAAGGCAGCAAGATGGGGTGTGCCAAGGATTTTTGGAAAATTGAGTGTGGGGACACGGACATAACTGAAATCCCCTGTGTCGGCCCGACTTAGCAAGAAGGGGGAGAAGGAGGAGGGTCCGTCACCGCACGGGTTTTGAGGGACTCAGAGGGAGAAGAAGGCGCACGTCGTACTCACGGCGCAGGGAAATTCAATCCAAAAAGTATTGCTGAACTTCCCATCGAGCCATCACTTTTCATTTCGTGTGAAAGGGAGCGGGAACGTACTTGGTATCCCGTTTTCGGATCAAGTCCCGACACCGCCCATCACACAACTCTGAGTCTGACGTGGAAGGCCTTAACCGAATGACTCTTTCCTTATGCTCGTCTTCACCTCGTACTCGGGATCTGCAATGCGCCGGCTACGTTTCAGAGAGCGATGAATGTAACATTTCAAAACTTCGCCAACAAGACTCGACTGACTCAAAGGATGATCAATTTCTGCGTCATTGTGTATATGGACGATATCTTGGTCTATTTAGAATTGTTCCACGGATACGCACATCATATCGAATGGACACTAGGAGCCTTACGGGATGTCAGATTCAAGATTGCGCTGGAAAAGAGTGAGTTCTTCCTTTCTGAGATCTCGTTCCTAGGCTACGTGGTAACTCGGGGAGGCTTACGACCCGATTCGAGAAAAGTTGCGGCCGTTCGAGACGCCCCGACTCTCATGTCACTGATGCAAGTTCGAGCTTTTTTGGGGCTGGCCTCGTACTATCGGCGATTTATCAAGGGTTTCGACGCTATCGCACGACCCCTAACAAACTTGCTGCGAAAGGACCAGCCCCTCAGTTAGGACACGGAGTGCAAATAGGCCTTCAGCGCTCTAAAGGAAGCCCTGGCCACGACGCCTATTTTGATCCGACCGGACCCGGCCAAGCAATTCATACTCATTACGGATTGGCGGCCTGAGGCGATTTCCACTATCTTGGCGCAGAAGTGGTACGACAGTCGTGAACACGTCATTGAATACGCGTCTCGTATCGTACCGGACGAGAGGAGGAACGATTTGGCTCCGCAAGGAGAATGCTACGTGATGGTTTGGGGAATTCAGCACTTCCATCCGTATCTGTACGGACATAAGTTTCTCCTTGTCACGGACCACGAGCCCCTGCTGGCTCTCAAAAAGCTCACTAATTACACGGGCATGATTGGACGTTGGGCAGTACGGCTGCAAGAATACGGTTTCAACATCGTCCATCGAAAGACGGAGAGGCACGGGAACGCGGACGGATTGACACGGCTGCACCGTCCGACAAAGGTGTTAAAGACGAAGAGATTACTCCGTGGAGAGAACCAGAACCAGTCAGCGGGCCAGAATACGGACAAGTGGCAGTTCTTCCTCGCAACAAGAAATAGCACGTGGCGATGGGTGACAAGGGTAACGCTGAGGCTCCCCTTTCTCCTCTCTTCGTCTTTCTCCTCCCTCCCGGACAAGTTTTGCTATTTTTGCGAGGTCATTTCGAGAGTCTATTCGGTCCCTATGCGACCAAGCGGGGAAGGATATATCGAATGGGTAGACTGTCAACGATGTGTTTCACGAGCCCATGACTCCTGTATCTAGTATCGGAATACGGACAAACCCTGGCTGTGTCCTCCGTGTCGCACCGACAAAATCCCGACGGAGGCTCGATTTCTCGAAGCCACGTCGGAAGGACTAGAAAAGACCTGACGGTTTAGAAGAGTTGAAGTATGGACAAATGTCATCCTGATCGCTATGGTGGTTGGGAACCCCCTCCGAGACTCCACCAAGGAGGACCGTAGAAGGGATAATGAGAGGGCACAAGACTATCGATGGAACGACGGACGGTTAGAAAAACGAAAAACGGACGGCCGTGGAATTTGGATGGTCGTGCCATATCCATTTGTAAGGTATGACTGGGTTAAGTCGGCGCATGAAGAGACTGCAGCTCACTTTGCCGTACGGATTTAGGCGGCGATTGACAAGAATGAATGGTATTGGTCCAATATTCACGACGATGTTAAATTCATCGTCCGAAATTGTCAGGTCTGTGCCGCTGACAAGGCACCGATTCAGCGGCCTAGATCGATAGTGCCTACCATAGTCGAATGGTCATTTCAGAGGGTTAGCATGGACACCACAGATGTTGTCGTTCCCCCTGGACCTAATAGTTGCGAGTATTCAATTCTACTGGTTTTTGTAGACCATTTCTCGAAATGGATCGAGGCATGTCTGTGTAAGACGCGACAGGCAACCGGAATCGCGAGATACGTTAACTGTTTTCTCGGGATGCACCAGGACACTGAGGAGATCCTGACGGACAACGGGGCAAAATTTAGAAGGGAAGTTTTGAGAAACCTAGTCCTGCATGGCGTCTCTATTCGTAATACTGCTCCCCACATGTCGCAATCCAACGAACTAGTAGAAAACGTCAATCGGATGATTAAGACCGCTTTACGACGCAACATTGCGACAAATGACACGAGGCCTTGGCCTGATACCGTGGACCATATTCTGGCTATCTACCGGGGGACACCCCACGAGTTCACGGGTCTGGCCCCCTTCCAACTACGGACTAATAGCCTGCCCTGTGTAGCCCTACCAAGCCTAAATGATGAGACGGCCCTTCCGCAACGGAACACTAGGGCGATGGTTAAGGATAAGGCCCAACGCCACCTAGAGCTGATGGAAAAAACCCTCCCCCGACTGGCCCGAAAAAGAAAGTGTATGACGGAAATGGCCCACGGTAGACAGGTCCGGAGCTACGAGGCCCGAAATGGGAATGTTGGGCCTCGGACCCAATATAAATTGGGGGACATCGTGCAAGTGAGGAAATGTGCTCGCCAAGGCAAGTTAGCGCCACGATTCTTCGGACGATTTCGCGTAGTCGAGCTCGGTCCCAGCTTGCGCCGGAGGTGTCGGGAAGTCGATCGGCTCGTCCGATCGTTCAACACATGTCCTACCTTCATCCTCTCCCCTCTTCCCTTTCTCCACCATCATCCGCATCGTCCCTCGACCAAGACGAGGACGACGACTCTCTAGAATCCTGCTTTCTCTCTCAACCATCGTCTTCGACCCCGCCTCCATCCCCATGAGCTTTCGACGAAGCAGGTGATCAGCGAGCGACTAATGGTACCTGGGGGAACCCTCTCCGCGATCCAGCAAGTACGGCATCCTCGGTTGAGTCCAAATCTTCTCCGATTCGCGGCCTTCTTCAGTACGACGGCCATTCATGCGGCGGCGGAATTCTAGTTCGGGCAGTCCGGAGTGGTACGAGTACTGGCCGAGGTGTCGGCCTTTTTGCGCCTATCTCCACCGGGCGAGAGCCACGTGTCGGTCATCGTCGTCTTTACAGGCGACCTCACGACGCTACATCCAGCACGACACACCGCCATCCTCCAACAGCTGCGAGACTGGGCAGCCGGCGTCTCGGCTGAGTGGGTGCGATTATTAGCCCGACCACGCGATCGTATCGTAACAACGAACGACATAGACCTTCAGCTTCGGCTCTCCCCCACCGCGTCAGAGGTCACCCTTCATGTGCTTCGTCCCTTCACTCGGCCTCGATGAACCGCCATCACCTCTCTACCTTCAGTCTCCCCTCTGACATCCCCACGTTTTGGCAATCCACTGCGGAAGCGTCCCTCTCCTTCACGATCAAGTCATTGGATGTGCCGATTCTCGATGCAGTCAAGTGGACGCACTCTTGGCAAACCTACGTGGCGCTCAGTTTCTGCCTCCTCGGGATCGCCTTCCATTGGGCGGAACCGGCGGACAGGAGTGTGGAGGACGAGATCCCGGACGACAAGGTGGAATTGCTGCTCATCCAAGGGTGGAGAACAGACACAGAGGGAGATTTTTTGGGGATCGTATTTGGAGAAGTGCGCAACGACCATCTAGGCTCTATTACGGATGAGCTGCTGGTGTTTCTAACCCAAGTGCTGGACAATCGACCATTGGAGATCCTATCGCATTGCGACGAGAGACCAGGGACAGCCATGCTCACTCGGACCCTCGAACCGCATCTTCTTTGGTCCACCTGTATGGAAGTGGAGGAGGGGAGCTATTACGTACCCTCACCGGGTGTGTATCTACACGTCGACGTCACCGACCTCTCCACGTGGGACCCGCTGATTCGGCATACTCCCGCAAGAGAGACGAGTGAAGAAGAGGAGGAGGAGGACGAAGAAGAAGTATCGGCCGAGGAAGAAGATCAGGAATCGGATCCCGATTACCAGGGATCGGAGGACGCCGAGTCGGAAGAGGCCAGTTCAGGGCAAGTGGAATCAGAGAAAGAAGAAGGTGGAGCGGGGGAGTCGAGTGGTCTTGACGAGCTGAGCCGGGAAGAAAGAGAGGCAGTGGCGCAGAGGAGACGGGCAGCAGCGGAAGAAAAGCGGCCGATCGAAGAATCAAAAGGTCTGCCACAATTGCTGCAGGACGATCCGACGCGCAATCCAGAACCGCCACAGGAGGAGGACGAACGAGATGCAAACGCCACCACGGAGGGATCAAGAAGCCGACGCCACCAATCACCCTCCCAATCCTCCCCAGTTTAACCCGCAACCCTTCGTTTACGTCGAGATGCGGGCGCACGGGCTTCGTCCCCGGTCGTTATCCCGTCGTCCCCGTGACTTCCTCACCATCCAGCAGCTCCCAGGCCGGCCCCCGTTCCGTGATACATGGCAGTCATTTCCCCTCTCCCTCTTCTATCACCGCTACGCCACCCGCCTTCTGGTTACCCTCTTCCCGCATGCTACTACTTGCTCCCTCGTCACTTCCTTCCCCCTCCACGTCCTGCTCTTTAGGGTGGATTGGCGGGAGTATAATCATGTGGAGGTCTACTGCGTCGTCGCGGGCACGATCCCCGCGTGCAAAGAGTATGACGACTTATGTGCTGCCATCCGCCGCACCCTTTGCACCTTCTACCCCGACTACCTCGCCTCTCTTCCCCATCAACATCGGCACCCTCGCTTCCCCCGCATCCATCGCTTCATTCATTACGTCCCACTCCCTTCCAACCACGAGGAACTTTACCGATTCACGCCTCCTCTCCCCCAGGTCTATCCACCACCTCCCCCACCCGTAATTAGACTACCTTTCCCGGGCAATATTTTATATTAAGCGCACGCATGCCACGTTGGATGACTTCCACACTCAGATCCTACGGTAAATGGCACGTGTCGGCTCCACGTCGATCATCGGACACAGGGTCGGCGCCTGACGAGAGAGCAAGCGGGGGCTTGCTCAAGATTGGAACCCCCTGGGCGTCCCATATGTGATGAACCATCTTCTGTAATCGCGCGACTTTCTGCGCGAAGCTGCTTGGGGAAATACGACAGGTGGGATGGGTGAATTGCGGAAAGATGGGTCGGGCAGCAAATTGCATGGATGTCCTCGTTTCTTTTCGTTTTCTGTTGGAAGTTGTCGAATCAGTGTTGGGAAAATCCCGTACCAACGGTTGGGTAGCCACGCCTTGGCGAGCGCAAGAAATAACTGTAACATAGCTTCTTTCTTGTTCTGCTGTGAGCACTAGGGATTTTTGGCGCGATCGTCATGAGGGAATATCGTTTTTGAATTTTCAACAGACGACGAGCCTCCATGGGCTCGCGAAATTGTTTGTCTCTTTTTCGGAATTTCCTTTTGCAATTAGGACTTAGGCTAGGAATTTAGGAATGCTTAATTTTGTTGCGTCGCGCTTGCATGTATCTTGCTGCGCTGGGGACTGGGCTCTGACTGGATCGCGCCCTTAATCTTATGCAACTGTCGTTTTTGGCAGGCGCGATTGTACCTGTATCTTTCTTCTTTCTTGGTTTCCTTGTGTTTGCCCTCGTTCTTCTTTTTCTTCCTCGCCTCACATACTCTGTTCTAATTGGTCGGAACGCCTGCTTGACCGGATCGATGCCTGGAGTGTGGCTACGACCCCCACGCCGCGGCCTGGCCATGCAGACGTAGGAACTTCCTTTTTTCTCCTCTTGTCCACCTGGACTTAATCCCGTGCCTTTCGCGCAGGCGTGCATGTTATAAATTCCGCAAGCGCGATTAGTTTCCTCTCTGAGAATTTTGAGGTTAGCGCGATCAGTGAGGGTCGGCTAACGAGCAAGTTTGAAAGGTGAGTGAGTGTGAGAGTTGGTCGATCTGATGAGCTGGTATCAGGTATGTGGGGTTGACATGCGGGGCCACGACGGACTGTGGCGCACGGGCGAACCTGGCTTGCATGCTCTAACCAAGCGGGGTGACAACTTTGTGTTGATGCGCGGCGACGGACTGCCCGCATCAGGAGCGCGGAGAGAGAGAGAGAGAGAGAGAGAGAGAGAGAGAGAGAGAGAGAGAGAGAGAGAGAGAGAGAGAGAGAGAGAGAGAGAGAGCAGTTGTGTGGGTGTGGGATAAGGTTCTTTTCGTTGTTCCTTTATTTTCATCTGTTCATCTGTATAATTTTGTTTTCTGCTATGGTCAATTTTATCGCAGCCTTCTTTTTGGACTTCTTCTGTAAATCGTCTCGGATTTTCCTTGTCGTTTGTATTTTGTACGTATGGATGGAATGAATGTGAGTCCCCTTTATTAGCGATCTTTTTAGATTTTCAATCTTGTTTTGCGATGTCCGTTTCGACTCTATCTACGGGGAGACTACCGCTCACTTGCAGATATGATTGAAAGCGCTCAATTATGGATGTTTTGGTTTAGTCGTTAACTGTGTAGCACACCGAACATGTTTGGCGCCCCACCGAGCAGCCAAACGTGTTCGGACGCTCGGCCGAGCGCAAACCGAACATGTTCGGCCGAGCACAAATTAGGGGGCTGCCAAGTGCGTCCTCATGTGTATGTGGTGTGTGGGATGTGTGTGGGGTGTCTATGGGGTGTCTGGGGTTGCGTGTGTATGGTGTGTGTGTGTATGTATGTTTAGGAGTGATGAGTGATGCCCCCCAGGGGCCCCCAACCCCTATATATATAAAAAATAAATAAAAAGTTAAAAGAAATAAAAATGTTCGCGCTCGGTCTATTTTGGGCCACGTTCGGGCTCGGTACCGAGCGTTCGGGTTCGGTCACCGAGCCCGAGCGCGATGCTACACAGGTCGTTAACTTTCGATCGACAAGAGTGCTATCAGAAGTTGGCGATCCTTACTCTTCTTTCCTCCTTTCTTTTGACACATGTATGATATATAATGATCGGATCTCACTTGACGCCGCAGGAATAGGATATCTGCATGCATGTTGAATGTGATCGACCCGCTGAACCAACCCATTGTTTCTCACGTACACGCTCGCGCACGACCATGACCTCGAGGGAACCGAGTCGTTACGTACGCGCTCGCCTGCGTGAGTCGGCCTGGAACTCCGCACGAGGATATAGGGGACCGAGCTTTCCAAGCAGATATGGCTGCGAAATTTCCATTTTGGATGTCTGATTGTGAGAGTCTGAGGGACCCGGAATACCGCGAATACTGGGAAGGTGAACAACTCAAACGGTAAGGGAACTAAAGAAATCCGAAATTCCCCTGTCTGACAGAAAGCGATCGATTGTGTGCGAGCGACTTTCACTGCGCCATAACTAACAATCCTAGGGGCCCTGATTACCCGGATACTTATAACACGCAGTATTTCATAACCCCCGGTTTCGTCGTTATTACTACCAGTTTCCCCCCCCTTCCACCTCTTCCTTCCATATCACCAACTCATGGTGGTGCCGTGGAATTCCATAGCCCACTATTGGCCCCGCATACCGTGCGAAAAGTGTCGGCAGCACCAGGCCTATCGAGCCTCGGAATTCGCTCGGCGAGCCCGCACTGAAGCCGAGGGGCACCGACAATTGGTCGAACCACGCGACCAGCCACAAAGGCGAAACCAGAGAAGATTATGATTCCCATTTCCTTTTAGCTCGAAATTTGAGTTCGTTAGCAAGGGCAATGTTGTTGGGATTTTGCTAAAGAATGCATGAGTGTTTAGATATGTTGGTACTGTGATCGTGGAAAAGTGCCCCGGATCTTTAGCCTGAGATGCACTGTGCATGTCATCTGCCTTATGGTGCACGACATCAACAGCTTCCCTTCTGTGAATGCCTTCTTTGCGCCTATACCCCCGAAACTTGCCACAGGAGATCTCAGTTCCAACCTGGGACTCCACCCCCTCTTTCCTAAAATCCTTGACACACCCCTTTTTGCACTTCTGGGCCCCCATCCCACTCCGATATGGAAGTCGCGCTGGGCGTGAGGTCGGGCGTCACATTAGCATTGACTAGCGTGGCAACCGGCCGTGCGATTGCACACGGCTTGGGTGGCAGTGTCGAGGACCTGTGGTTGGGTGTGTGTGACAGGGTAAAATAGGACACGGGAAAATCCGTGCTTGGGTGGGTTAAGTGTTTGTCTTGGGGCTTATTTTTCACCCCAATCCACTTAGCCATTTGGTTGAGTGTTTACCTCCGAATAGGGAGGTAGCATGTTAGATTTTTATGATGGACTCGTGAACGCTTTCCTACCGATGCTAATTGTCGATCTCTCCTTTTGGTTTTTTAGACAGCAGAGTATGGAGGTCCTTTTGAAGAAAAAAGGGAAAAAGTGAGTTCGGTCTTGCACGGGGAAAGATTTGAGAAACAGATGTTGCTATCGATAATGAGGATCAACAACCAGCCACTCTTAATCCATGCAAGAAGAACATCACCACCGTGCCAATTACTCCAGGATTGGGTCCTTCTCCACTGATCACCGTGCGAAATGTGTGTGGACCTGTTCAAGGTTTGATACATTCAAAATGTTTGATCAGTCCAAATGTACCCGGTCTCTTGAGCAGGTCCTGGACCAGATACCTTTCAAATAGTTGTGGCGAGATGTGACGCCCGAACCTCACGCCCAGCGCGACTTCCTGATATGAGTGGGATGTGGGTCTGAAGTGCGAAAAGGGGTGTGCCAAGGATTCTTCGGAAAGTGGGGGTGGAGTCCAAGGTCAGAACTGAGATCTCCTGTGGCAAAGTTTCAGGGGCGCGGGTGCAATAGGGCTAAGGGCGAGTTACTTCCGGTCTGTTGGCGTCCTATATCGTGCAGCATAAGGCAGATGGCATGCGCGATGCATTCAAGGCCGTTTGATCCGTCTATTTTGGGAGCGGCGGTTCGGGGAGAGGCCTGTCCGAGGTGGCTGTGATTCTGATGAGTCGGGGCTTTGGGGGCAACCACGTCGCGCACTTGGGTTAGGCCCCCTAGTTTCAGGGGCTCGTCAGTTGCCGCGTCGCCGACAATTTCCGCAGGGCGTGCGGGGCCAGTACGGAGCGATGGAATTCCACGGTACCACCGTGAGTTGGTGATACAGAAGGAGGAGACGAAAGGGAGGGAAGTTGGTGGCGATAACAACGAAGCCGGGGGATGTGAAGTAGTGCGAGTTATCCGAAGTGAGGAAATCGGGACACCTTGGATCGCTGGTCGTGGCTTGGTGGAACTCCCTGGGGCACAAACGATTCTCGGTTAGGCAGGGGAACTCCGGGCGTCTCTGTCAGAGACACTCTCTCACCCAAGGGACGAAATACTCTGGATCCCACGACGAATCTGAGTCCCTCGAGTACGTCATTTTGTTACTGTGAGGTTGTAGAATTCCTTGGTGCGTGTGTACCTGGCAGGGGAACTTCCGGGTTCGGTGTTCAGAAATTCCGCGCTTGTTACAGTATTCGACGATTGTGAATCACCGCGTGTGAGTACGTGTAGGCTGAGCGGATGGGATCGCGCATATACGTGTTCATGCAGGATGGTTGCTTCGTTGCGGATGCAAAATGGCCAGTTATTACGTCTAATCATTCAATATCCCCGCAATCGTTAGTCATTCCATGCGCAGGTGAGTGACACACTGACACATACATCAACTACCTGGCCTAGCATGAGCAAAAACGGAAAGAGAAGCGGCAATCACCTCATCCATTACCCACAATGCAATCATCCATTCATACGATCGGAAGAGAATCCCAGAGCAATCGGGTGTTAAGTTCGTCGGCGGTTGCAAGTTGGCGCGCGTGGATACACGTAGACTGCGCAGATCAGATCGCGCTTACTCACATCCCCGTGTGGTACTTGCTGGTTTTCGATCCCACAACTACGCAGTCATCTAATCATTCTGTGATTCGTACACAATTGCTCCTGAGCGTGCGAGGATAACCATCAATAAGAGCATTATTGACGACTACGCAAAAGTTCCTACTATGCTTATGAGTGTATCAAAAATGACAAGCGAAGGCAAGGATCAGGCAGAAGAAAAGCAACAGATATCGCATTCATTCATTCATTCGACAAGACACACGACAAACGAGATCGAGACCAAACACAAAACGCGTGTGAGCGGAAACCAAATCAAAATTCCGAAAACAAAAGAAATCGGGCGAAGCGCCCTGAACCGAGATCAAAATTTATATACAACAACAGAGAGGGAGAAAAAGACAAAGAAACTGCAAATCCACGTCCATCAACCTCAACTCCCTCTTCCTCTCTTTCCCTCTCCGATGCGGACAGTCCGTCGTCATGCAGCAACCCACGAAGTCGTCACCCCGCTTAGTCCTCCCGCACCCGTCACGTTCGCCCGCGCCTACAGTCCGTCGTGGCCCGCGTCAACCCCACGCGTTTGGCACCAGCTCATCGGGTCGCCTGACTCCCACTTCAACTCACCTCTTACTTCGCTTGTGAGCCGACCCTCACTGATCGGGCTACCCCGAGCTTCCAACAGCTGGTTAAGAGGGCTATCTAATCGCGCAACCGGAATTTATAGTATGCATGCATGCGCGACGAACACGGAATTGCATGGACTTAGAAAGGAGATTAGAAGAGGGAGCGCCTACGCTCTGCATGGCCGGGCCGCGGCGTGGGGGACGTAGCCGCTCTCCACGCATCGATCCGACCATGCAGTCCGTGGGCTAGCTTAGACACAGCAAGAGAAACAGCGAGAGCGGGAAAGACGATGTTCAAGAAGAAAGATACAGTTATAATGGCGGCCGCCCAAAATTACAGTTACACACACGATTAAGGGCACCGACTAATCAGAGTTCCATTGCAGCCGCAAAAAGAAGCGCGTAAGCAAAATGCGTTGCGCGGCTCCAAAAAAAATTCCTAAATTCCTCAATTCCTAGCTAATGCAAAAAGAAGGAAGCACAAATTCCGAAAAGAAAATCCGAAGTTTCGAGAGCCATCAAGGGCTCGGCAAGATTCGAAAAAGAAATTAAAAAAGAACGAAACAAAATTCCCTCGCCGTCTCCGCGCCTAAAATCCGACAGCAGCACTGAAAAGAAGCGACGTCAATCGTTATTAATCGCGCCTGGTCGGCGCGACAGCCACTCAATCAATCATCCCAGGACTTGCCCGGGCCTAAATCCATCCATCTGAAAAAGAAGTGACGAAAGAGAACAGACAAAAAAGCGAGGACACCGATGCAATTTCCCTTCAATCCCGATCTCCCTTAATTGGTCTATCCTTCCCAGCTTAGGACCCCTCGTTGCTACCGCGCAGAATATCGCGCGGAACAGAAATCGGTCCATCACATATGTGACGCCCACGGGGTTCCAATCTTAAGCAAGCTCCTGCTTGCTTGAATCTTGACACGTGTCGATCTCTCTAATCGATCGACACGCCGAGCTTTCTACGTTGCCACTTATCGTGTGAAGGAGTGTGGACGTCATCCAACGTGGCATACGGGCTCTCTCCTACAAATTCCTCAGGAGGGCTCTCGTCAATCCAAGAAGGGAATTATTCACGCCATCGTCGTGGCGCGCACACCAATCAACCGATCATCAATGTCCACCGAGGAGGGGGAAGGGGAGACGATGCATGGGGGCATGGCGAGGGGGAGGGTTAGTCGGGAGCGGGGGTAAGAAACTTTCCATCCGTGCCACCGTTTCCGGAAGCTCCTGATATCGGACAATCCGGTGGAAATGGGGGAAGCAATTACCACTGTAGGGGAAGGAGGTGACGTAATCAGGATAGAGAGTGGCGAAGGTTCAGAAGAGTGCCGCTTGAAAATGGTCGTAGTTCTCGCATGCGGGGATAGTCCCCGTAATCATGCAATAAACCTCAACGATATTGTGGCCTCGCCACGCGGCACTAAGGAGAAGGGCGTGAAGGCAGAAGTCATGGAGGGCGCATCGGGTCGAGGGATGAGGGTGAACTGTAACAACGAGGCGGGTGGCGTAGAAGAAACGGAAGGTATCGATCGGGAAGGGATTACGAGGGAAGGTGACATGGGTGGTGATTTGGCGGAGGGTGAGATGGTCAAGGGGACGGTGGGATAACGACCGGGGACGAAGCCCGATGGCCTGCATCGGTACGGGTTCGAACTGGTGGACGGTCGGAGGTGGAAAAGGAGGGGGATCGGCTTCGTCGTCGCCTTGTCGGTGCGCTCGAAGTCTCGGCAGCTGGGTCTCCATCTTCGGGCTTGGGCGGCTCCGGATCTCGGGCCGGATCGTCGGCGATCTGTAGATTTGTTCCGCTGGCGAATTCCAACTGTCGCTTTCCGGCCGCGATCTCCTCCCTCTTGCGCGCTGCCTCGGGGTCCTCTTCCTGAGCATCCGTTTGTTCCACCTCCTCCGCCAAGATCTCCCACTCGGATTCTTCGAGCTCTAGCTCTTCCTCTTCTTCACCTTGCTCTTCTTCTTCTTCACTTTCACTCTGCTCTCCTTCGTTGTGTTTACTATAACTGCCCTCTTCCGGTGTCTCTTCCTCGACGTCCTCCTCAACTTCTTCTTCTTCTTCTTCTTCTTCTTCTTTTTCTTCTTCGATCGCTAACTCCTCGTCTTCAGGGGTCGTTCGATCCTGAAAGAAAGCGAGGTCAATTATTTCCCGTGGGTCTAGATATCCCCGCTGTGATGGCGGGTTGCGGCCGCTTCCCGGCTCCACCAGACACGCTAACCACTTAAGGTATGGCGTCAGCGTTCGTGTGAGGACGTGCGGGACGGAGCTCTCATCACTCTGCGAGACGATCTTAAGGGGGAGATCGTCTACCAACTGCGCAAGAGGAACTATGAGTTCCTGCACGATCAGTTGGCGATGGCCGGACCGCACCGATCCGAACAAGAATCCGAGAAGATTGCCCTCCATGTCCGTCCTCCAGGCCTGGATGATCAGCAACTCCAAGTACTCGATCCGGGCACGATGCTCTTCGTCCCTTGTGCACGTGAGTCGCACTCCGACCAGGCACACCGAGAGATCGACGAAGTGTTCACACCAGAGCCTCCACTGCCTTGGATCGAGGAGGGGGACAGCGAGCGGCTCCAGGCAGAAAGAGAAGAGAGGGTGAAGACTAGACTGCCAAAAGGTGGGAAATAGAGATGGAAGGGCGAAGGTGGAGAGTTGGGAGCGGTTCATTGGGAACGCTGAAAGGGGATAAGTTCCGGAAGCACCACCGCCGGCTCGTGCCGGGATGCTCGAATCCCACCAAGATCGATGTCATCCGTAGGGACAAGATTGTCCCCATGGCGCGTGAGCTAGTGGTTCCACTCCGCTGCCAACTGTTGTCCCCACTCCCTCAGTGACGTCCGGATAGCTGTATGCCGCAACAGAGTGATCGTGCTGATATCACCGCTCAAGCCGACAAATGTGGACATGTGGCTGATCCCTGGAGCTGACCGCCGATGGACAGCTACTTCCTTTGCCAGCACAACCGCGTGGTGACTGCCCGCAAATCGGAACTCGGCTACTGCGTATACCCCCGAAGTGCAAAAGAATTGCCCGAGTCGTAGAAGATCCAGATTGAACCGCGGATGATGAACCTGCCGAATCGTTGAGATGTAGCCTCGTGGCGCAAACAGGTGATCGCCGAGAGCTCGCTCCGTAAGAAAACTCATGGCGATGATGGCGGGGACAGAGTATGGGAAAAGGCGAGAAATGCAGGGGAGGAAAAAAGCGATGGAGAGTCATCGTCTTCTGTCGTAGCCAAGGAGGAGGAAGAGGGTGCAGGAGATGGGGAGGAAGGGAGGGGACGCAGGTAAGACACGTGGCGAATGATCAGCCGCGCCGATCGGCTCCCTGAGACCTCTGGCACGAGGCGCACGGTGTTCACTCCGTTCGGTCCAAGCTCGATCACTCGGAATCGCCCGAAGAATCGTGGCGCTATCTTTCCCTGGCGAGCACATTTCCTTACCTGCACCAAGTTCCCTAATTTGTACTTGGGCCGTGGACCCGCGTTCTTGTTAAGAGCCTCGTAACTACGGACCTGCCGGCCGTGGGCCAACTCGGTCATTTTTTGTCGCTTTCGGGCTAATCGGGGCAGGGACCTTTCCATCAGTTCCATGTGTCGCTTGGCCTTGTCCCGAATTGTGGCTCTCGTGGGCCGTCGGTTCAACGAAGACTCATATGGGAGGCTCGATATCGAAACGCAGGCCACACTATTGGTCCGTAATTGGAACGGGCTTAGGCCCGTCGATTCATGAGGCGTTCCGCGATGGACCGCCAGGATGTGATCCACGATATCGGACCAGGGCCTAGGGTCCCGCGCCACGATATTGTGTCGTAGCGCAGTCTTTATTACCCTATTTGCATTTTCTACCAGCCCGTTAGATTGCGACATATGGGGTGCGGTATTCCAAATAGCAACGTCGTGTACGACCAGATTCCTCAAGACTTCTCCCCTGAATTCTACCCCATTATCGGTCAAAATATCCTCCGTGTCCTGGTGCATCCTTAAAAATCGATTGATACATCGCACAATTTTGGCTGCCTGTCGCGTACGACAGGGATACGGTCCACGAACACGAGTAGGATTGAATATTCATAGCTAGTATTGGGTCCAGGGGGCACCACAATATCGGTGGTATCCATGCTAACCCTTTGAAAAGGCCGCTCAACTACCGTCGGTACTATTGATCTCGGCGGTTGAATCGACGCCTTGTCGGCAACGCAGACCTGACAGTTCGCGACGATGAACTTCACATCGTCACGAATATTGGACCAATACCACTCATTTTTGTCGATTGCCGCCTCCGTAATTCGTACGGCAAAATGGGCAGTCGTTTCTTCGTGCGTTGTGTTCACCCAGTCATACCTCATGAACGGGTGCGGTACTACCATCCAAATCCCGCTACCATCCGTTTTTCGTTTTTCCAATCGTCCCTCATTGCAGCGGTAGTCCCGAACTCTTTCATTGGCCCTCCTCCGGTCTTCCTTGGTGAAGTCCTGGAGGGGGTTACCCGCTAGGGTGGCAATCAAGGCTATATCTGTCCATACTTCGGCCCTTCTAAATTTCCGGGTCTTCTCTAACCCTTCTGACGTGGCATCCAGAAAGAGAGTCTCGATGGGGATCTTATCAACCCGACACAAGGGGCACAGCCAAGGCTTACTGTCATTTCGGTATTGGATGCACGAGTCGTGGGCTCGTGCGACACACTATCGACAATCTATCCATTCCGCATATCCTTCCCCGCTAGGGCGCATAGAGACCGAGTATACACGAGAAATTGCTTCGCAAAAATAACAAAATTTATCAGGCAGGGAGAGGAGAGACGAGGAGGAAAGGGGAGAGAGGGAAGTTGTAGGGTTACCTCCGTCACCCATTGCCACCTGCTTGCCTCTTGCCACGTGGAAGGACTGCCACTTGTCCGTACTTGGGCCCGTTCATCGATTCCGGTTCCTTCCACGGGATGATCTCTTCCGCCTTAGGCACTTTAGCTGGTTGGTGCAGACATGTCAGTCCGTCCGCGTTGTTGTGCCTCTCCGTCTTACGATGGATGATATCGAAGTCGTATTCCTATAGGCGCACTGCCCAACGTCCAATTATGCCAATGTAATTAGTGAGCCGTTTCAGCGCTAGCAAGGGCTTGTGATCAGTGACAAGGAGGAACTTCTGTCCGTACAGATACAGATGGAAGTGTTGGATTCCCCACACCACTGCGTAGCATTCGCCCTGCGGGGCTGAGTAATTTCTCCGCTCGTCCGGCACCGTTCGTGACGCATATTCGATGACGTGTTCGCGGCCGTCGTTCCCCTTCTGCGCTAAAATAGCGAAAATAGCCTCCGGCTGCCAGTCCATGATGAGAATAAACTGCTTCGCGGGGTCCAGTCGGATCAAAATAGGTGTCGTTGCCAAAGCGTCCTTGAGGGTCGTGAAGGCCCGTTCGCACTCTGCATTCCTGCTAAGGGGCTGGTCCTTCCGTAACAAGTTCGTTAAGGGTCGTGCAATCGCGGCGAAGCCCTTGATAAAACGACGATAGTGCGAGGCTAACCCCAAAAAGGCTCGAACCTGCGTCAGCGACGTGGGAACAGGAGCTTCCTTCACCGCCGCGACCTTTCTTGAGTCAAGCTGCAGTCCTCCACGTGTCACAACGTAGCCCAAGAACGAAATTTCCGAAAGGAAAAATTCGTTCTTTTCGAGCGCAATCTTGAATCCGGCGTCTCTCAGAGCACCCAACGTCCACTCGATATGTTGCACATGGTGTCGTGATAGGTCTTTGAATAGACCAGGATGTCGTCCATGTACACGATGACCCAGAAGTTGATCATTCCCTGCGTTAACTGTGTCTAGTTGACGAAGTTCTGAAACGTGACATTCATGGCTCGCTGAAACGTGGCCGGCGCATTGCAAATCCCCATTAGACACCGAACCCACTGCCACATGCCCTCAAACAATACGAAGGCCGTCTTCGGTCGATCTTCCTCCTTGACCAGAATGTGATGGAAGTCGTGTCAAATATCAAACTTACTGAAGTAATTAGCACACCCAATCGCATCCAGCAAATCATCAATCCGGGGGAGGGGATACACATCTTTGATCGTGATGTCATTCGGTTTGCGATAATCAATGCATATGCGAATCGATCCGTTATTTTTCGGTACCAATACTACCGGAAACGACCACGGTCCGGTGGCGGGTTCGATCCAATCGCTCGCTTCAAATTCTCGAATCCGCTCGAAAGCCTTTCTCCTTTCTACTAGGGAATATCTATAAGGTTTACAGTGAATTGGGGAATGATTTCCCGTCTGGATCTCGTGCCGTATGACTAACGACAGTCCAATGTCTGTGTCCGTCACACTAATCGCTCCTTTGTACTCCTTTAGGATGTCTGCGATTAGGTGGTGAATCTCATCAGGTACATATCAGGGTACGTGCAACTCATACAACTCATCCCATATCCTTACATCGATGTGTTTCGTATTCACTCACTTGGTGTTCTCTGGTGGGGCGCGGAGATGAAGGAGTTATCCGATCGCTAGGAAAACATCGTGGCCATCATCTGTGCATCTTGCTCTCGAATGGCCACGTGTTCTTCCGGTGTTACTCCATCTCGAATATCTTGCCACGGCACAGGTTTCATTGCAATCTTGATCCCGAGTCTGTTTTTGAGGCGCCAGGGGGTTCCAAAGAGTTGATCTCTGCCCCCAATCATAACAATCGAATTTCTTTTGTGGGTGTTTACAGAGACTTTGGGAGATCCGTGATATCGCAGTAGTGCCTTTTGTCATTGTATCGGGCGAGAAGAGGGGAGATCCCTTCGTACAGGATTCGAGGGGGTTCCAAAGAATCAACCATCCTTGAAATTTGTACGAGAGGTTCTCCCATAATCATAGCCTGTGTTCTTTGCAAATCTTGGTTAGTCCTGCTCAACGTTTTAGCATTTGTCCGTTGTACAGGGTAATGGATACGTTCTTGTGCCATCTCCAGGATTACGGGATCATCATCATCATCGATGCTATTTGCGTCCTTGGATGTCTGCCCGTTGTCCCAGGTAATCATGCGAAGGGTCCCTGTCATCGGGGGAGAAACTCGTGGGGCTATGTTAGCAGTAGTACGAAGGGTCAATCCCATTGGTACAACATAAGGTTTCCCACCGTATTTCGGAGGACAATCGATCATCTTCCGAAGTCCAGATTGGCTCGTAGTGCTACCAAGGCGTGAAGGTCAAAAAGAACGTCGTAAGTGTTGGCATCTAATATTACGACGTCACCCAAAGCATGCACCTTCCCTAATCGAAAAGCAACGTTAGTCATTCGTCCCACTGTTTTTATCTTTTCTTCATCTGTGGAGACGAGCTGATCTTTTTCTGTGAGCATGATCAGATCGTTCTTTCTTCCTGCTCTCTCCACTACCCGTAATGAAATAGCCAACACAATGGCTCCTCGATCGATGATAGCATTATATGGAGTTCCCCATACCTCAATGTCGCATTCCGCGGATTTCCATGGGATGGGTTTAATCCGTAGGAAGTGATCATCTTTTTGGATTAGTCCTATGCGTATGGGATCGGAAGTTCCTACGACATTTTCATCCGGTGTTGGTCCCTTCGTTTTCGTGTTTGTCGTTCGGGTAAGGGCAAATCGTTTCCGATTTGCTTTGCAGTGCTGCAACATACGTTCATTAGCCTGTTCTGATATTGAAAGCAGATGGACGATCGGAAGGGAGATTCCATGATCTAAGGCTCGCACGATGTTTAGAACATTGATTTCCCTCGTGACGAAAGCGAGTCCTCCCGACTCCATCTCTTGTGGAGAAGGTCGCCACTCCGCCACTTCTCGTTGTTCAGGCGCGGGTCTAATCGTGCCAATCATTCCAAGCCCCGGGTATCCCAGTGTTATATATTGATCCAAGGGAATAAGCTTTGCAGCCTCCTCCATTGATGCTAACGTGGTTCCGCTTCCCTCTACTTCTTCCATCAATGCTCCTACCCGTCCCGGCCCGTTAGCGATTGGTGCTGCAACTACCGGTGCGGCTCCGACTCGTTGTGGCGGAGGCCTGTGAGGGCAATCCTGGGCTATGTGCCCTGGTTGGTGACATATATAGTAGACATTCAGATTGCATGGGATTCCGGCAGGAGGCGGTGCCGGGGCCAATCCGTGTTGGATCCGCGCGGCACGCACTGCAATGGGTCTCATCAATCTCATCATAGCCTCGATTCGAGCATTGTGTTCTCGTTGCTCCTTCTTGCTCTCCTGAATCAAATTGACCAATGTTTTGGTCAGTTCGAGCAAGGCGGTCAAATCGTTTGATCGTGTGGGGTTTTCAATCGGAGGTGGGGGTACTGTCATCACGGGAGTGGGTATGTTGGCAATCACACTTGGGATTGATCGTTTAGGGGTAATCTGTTCTAAATAGGTGACCGGTACGGATACAAACCCCATGTTTTCAAACTTGTTTTGCAACGCGGCCAGCTCAGCCTTAGCCCTGGCTAATTGAGATGAGTCTCTTTCCCTAGGGTAATCTTCCCCTTATAGAAAACTCGTAGCAAACTTTCGCTTCATCTCTTCTGCAGCGGCCATGATCTGTTGCAGTGTATAATTGATGGGGGAGATTCTGAACTGCTTTCACAGTTTTGCCCTCATCATTTTGTTGCGAAGTCCGTCAATGAACAAATCCCTTCCTACTTGCTCACCTCACTCTGTTTTCACAAACATTCGGTTGCTGCGAAGTCTGTCGATGAACAAATCCCTTCCTACTTGCTCACCTCACTCTGTTTTCACAAACATTCGGTAAAATCGATTTCGATATTCCGTGACAGACTCGAGGGGCTTCTAGACTCGATCTTTAATTATAAAAAGCGCTTGTTTCGGATGGATGTAATCAAACCGATTCAAAAAATCTCGCTCGAAAGTCGGGAGATCCACCCATACATAGGTACTAAACCAATGATGAGCGTCCCCTCCTAATCGAGCGGGGATGTTCACTTGAGCTTCGTTGTCGTCATACTGCTGCGCCCGGAGCGTGGCCAACCATGCTTCAGCAAGATGATGCGCAGGATCAAACAGATAGAGATCTGGTGGCGTCATAGGAGCCCGTGCTCGCGGTGCGGGTTGATTAGGATTTTGTTGCTGATTGGGGTTCTGCTGCGGATTCAGATTCTGTGGATTAGCGTTCATGTTGGCCGCCTGTCGATTAGCTGATCTGCTTCTAGTGACGACGGGGTCGCGTCTATGCCCGTTCTGGGGTCGAGGTCGCCCTCGGTTAGCCAGATCGCTCAATTATCGTGTTGTTAGCCCCACAACCTCGCCACGCGTCGGGCTCCGATACCAACCTCACGCCCAGCGTGAGTTCCTGATCGGAGTGGGATATGGGCCTGGAAGTGCGAAAAGGGGTGTGCCAAGGATTTTTGGGAAAGTGGGGGTGGAGTCTCAGGTCAGAACTGAGATCTCCTGTGGCAAAGCTTCAGGAGCACGGGTGCAATAGGGCTAAGGGCGAGTTACGTCCGGTCTGTTGGCATCCTATGTCGTGCAGCATAAGGCAGATGGCATGGGAGGTGCATTCAAGGCCGTCCAATCCGTCTGTTTTGGGAGCGATGGTTCGGGGAGAGGCCTGTCCGAGGTGGCTGTGATTCTGATGAGTCGGGCCTTTGGGGGCAACCAGGTGGCGTCTGCCGTCACGCGTTTGCGTTAGGCCCCCTAGTTTCAGGGGCTCGTCGGTTGCAACGTCGGCGACAATTTTTGCAGGGCATGCGGGGCCAGTACGGAGCGATGGAATTCCACAGTACCACCGTGAGTTGGTGATACGGGAGGAGGAAACGGAAGGGAGGGAAGTTGGTGGCGATAATAACGAAGCCGGGGGATATGAAGTAGTGCGAGTTATCTGAAGTGGGGAAATCGGGACACCTTGGATCGCTGGTCGTGGCATAGTGGAACTCCCTGGGGCACAACTGATTCTCGATTAGGCAGGGGAACTCCGGGCGTCTCTGTCAGAGACACTCTCTCACCCAAGGGTCGAATAACTCCGGATCCCAACGAATCAGAGTCCCTCGAGTACGTCATTTTGTCATTGTGAGGCTGCGGAATTCCTTGGTGCGTGTGTACCCGGCTAGGGAACTTCAGGGCTCGGTGTTCAGAAATTCCGCGCTTGTTACAGTATTCGATGATTGCGAATCACCGCGTGTAAATACGTGTAGGCCGCGTGGATGGGATCGCGCGTACACATGTTCACGCAAGATGGTTGCTTCGTTGCGGATACAAAATGGCCATTGAATACGTCCAATCATTCAATATCCCCGCAATCGTTAGTCATTCCATGCGCGGACGAGTGACACATACATCAACGACCTGGCCTAGCATGAACAAAAACGGAAAGAGAAGCGGCAATCACCTCATCTATTACCCACAATGCAATCATCCATTCATACGATCAGAAGAGAATCCCAGAGCAATCGGGTGTTGTGTTCGTCGGCGGTTGCGAGTCGGCGCGTGTGGATACACGTAGACTGCGCAGATCAGATCGTGCTTACGCGCATCCCCGCGTGGTACTTGCTGGTTTTCGATCCAACAACTACCCAGTCATCTAATCATTTTATGTTTCGTACGCAATTGCTCCTAAGCGTGCGAGGATAACCATCAATGAGAGCATTATTGACGACTACACAAAAGCAAAAGTTCCTACTATGCTTATGAGTGTATCAAAAATGACAAGCGAAGGCAAGGATCAGGCAGAAGAAAAGCAACAGATATCGCATTCATTCATTCATTCGACAAGACACACAACAAACGAGATCGAGATCAAACACAAAACGCTTGTGAGCGGAAACCAAATCAAAATTCCGAAAACAAAAGAAATCGGGCGAAGCGCCCTGAACCGAGATCAAAATTTATATACAACAGCAGAGAGGGAGAAAAAGACAAAGAAACTCCAAATCCACGTCCATCAATCTCAGTTCCCTCTTCCTCTCTCTCCCTCTCCGATGCAGACAGTCCGTCGTCATGCACCAACCCACGAAGTCGTCACCCCGCTTAGTCCTCCCGCACCCGTCACGTTCGCCCGCGCCCACAGTCCGTCGTGGCCCGCGTCAACCTCGCGCATTTGGCACCAGCTCCTCGGGTCGCCCGACTCCCACTTCAACTCATCTCTTCCTTTGCTCGTGAGCCGACCCTCACTGATCGCGCTACCCCGGGCTTCCAACAGCTGGTTAAGAGGGCTATCTAATCACGCAGACGGAATTTATAGTGTGCATGCATGCTCGACGAACACGGAATTGCATGGACTGAGAAAGGAGATTAGGAGAGGGAGTGTCTGCGTTCTGCATGGCCGGGCCGCGGCGTGTGGGACGTAGCCTCTCTCCACGCATCGATCCGAGCATGCAGTCTGTGGGCTAGCTTAGACACAGCCAGAGAAACAGCGAGAGCGGGAAAGAGGATGTTCAAGAAGAAAGATACAATTAGAATGGCGACCGCCCAAAATTACAGTTACACTCACGATTAAGGGCGCCGACTAATCAGAGTTCCGTTGTAGCCACAAAAAGAAGCGTGTAAGCAAAAAGCGATACGCGACTCCAAAAGAAATTCCTAAATTCCTAAATTCCCGGCTAATGCAAAAAGAAGGAAGCACAAATTCCGAAAAGAAAATCCGAAGTTCCGAGAGTCGTCAAGGGCTCGACAAGATTCAAAAAAGAAATTCAAAAAGAACGAAACAAAAATCCCGCGCGGTCTCCGCGCCTAAAATCTGACAGCAGTACCGAAAAGAAGCGACGTCAATCGTTATTAATCGCGCTTGGTCGGACAACAACCACTCAATCAATCATCCCGGGACTTGCCCGGGCCTGAATCCAGCCATCCGAAAAAGAAGCGACGAAAGAGAACAGACGATAAAGTGAGGACACCGATGTAATTTCCCTTCAATCCCGATCTCCCTTAATTGGTCCATCCTTCCCAACTTAGGACCCCTCGTTGCTACCGCGCAGAAAATCGCGCGGAACAGAAATTGGTTCGTCATAGCGAGGCCTAGTATCGGTGCAAGTGGGACCTCACCCTAGACACTTTACTGCGCTTATTACCACAACAATTATCACATCAATATCGGCACAAGCGGGACCTCCCGCCAATTACCGCGTCAATGACCATGACAATTAGCGCGGCAATGGGCCTTCCTCCGCTACATAACACTCGGTACGTATCTTAAGCTCACTTTTGTCCTGATACATTCAAAATGTTAGACTTCTTCGAATGCCCCTTGTCCAACATGGGTGTCCAAATGCATCTACTGTTCACCAGTGGAGTTAGGCCCAATATCGGTACAATGGTCACTGCGGCAATATCAGTGTTGTGGGGTCACATGGAGAGAGGGTGGTGGGAATATGGGAGGGGGAAAATCACGAATCCCTAGAGAAAACAACCGTTTATTTTATTTTCTTTAATGGTTTTTTAAACTTTTTTTTTTAACTAACTGTTTAATTTAATTTAAGGGGGCAAGGGCAAAAGGGTACACACCACATAAAGCGAGATGTACACAATCTCACAAAGTAGCAACAATAGAAACCCACAGTTCGGGATGTCAGATAGAAAGAATTCACATCATGTTCGTCGCATCCCACCGCCCCACCTTCTGGCCAACAACCCCAAGATCCACCGATCTTACCGACAAACTTGGCGGCTGTCATTCTCAAGGTTAGCAGGGAATGACTGCCTCAACATGTCTGCTGAAAAGAGAGGAAAAGAATATCGAACTAGTCTAATATATACTACCCCAACATCTGACAATAGCAAAATGAAGGTTCGCGACCGGAAGGAACCCACCCATCTAAGAAGTCAACTCCCAGATAGGGCCCCTCCCTACCGCAAAGTTGCCCATGACCTTTATGAATAGGTCGACCGGAAAGCCCTTTCTTAGGTACACGATTTTTAAAAGCATAACCTGGCCCGGAATTTTCTCGCGAATCGTAGAGTTCCTATCAATCCTATGAAGCCAACCAGCAATCGCAGCAACTT